ATAATCTTTACGAACAAGCCTGTAAAGTAAGTGAATTGTTATCTCCATATCACTCAACAATAACTGATGGGGAGGGTTGCCTTAAGGCAGAAAGGGGAGCTCAGGGTTAACCTCAACTCTAGATCTGCATGGTTCTCTAGATGTTGCTTTCATTTGCCACCACAGTGCCCCAAACAATCAGGAAATGCCACAGTTTCACCCTGGATCTCATTGTAAGCTGCAGTGTTCAAAGCAAGAAGCAAAAGGGTACACATGGTTCTTTTTTACAGCTCAGATTATAAAATAACTACCAGTTTCACCCTGGGTCTCATTGTAAACTGCAGTGTTCAAAGCAAGAAGCAAAAGGAAGGGTAAACATGGCTTTTTTTTACAGCTCAGATTATAAAATAACTACTTAGAGGAAGAAGTTGATAATGGCAGTTTTAAGAAAGTCCCATTTCTTCCACTGTTCAGTGATGAAACAACACATTTTAATTTCAGCTCATTAAACTGGTTAAAAGGAAGTGATAAAACAGGATATGCTAAAACTAGAAAAATATGCTAGCTTGACTACATGGACACGTCTCATCCATCTTCAAAACAGAAATTCATTGCCAATGAGACATGGAGCTACTAAACAATGCTATTATTTTCAGCGTCTTTATGTGTAGCCAAAGCCCAATAAAGCTCATTTGTACTTTTGAATTTTTCCTATGAAAGGCCCTGAAGTTTCCAAAATGTTTTGGGGTCTGGGATTTTGTTTTGTTTTTGGAGAAGGGGTGGTACAAAATGCTCTTTTCTTCCAACTCAGACGAGCCAGCAAGATGGTCCCCTAACTTGACTCGGCTGATCTGGTGACCTGAAACTATGCCATGGTTAACAGTGAAACTAGACTATTGTAATGTATGTAGGTCTCTCCTTGAAGTCAATTTGGAGACTCTGGTTAGTTCACACTGCAGCTAGGTTATTATTGGAAGCTAGGTGGAATATGTACATCACTCCCATTCTGCAGTCACCCCATTGGCTGCCCATCAATTACTGGGCTCAATTCAAAGTACTGACTGTCATCAACACAGCCATTCATGGCCTTGGTCCCACTTACCTGTGGGACTGCTTCTCTCCCTATGCTCCACCACACCAGCATCACTCACTCATCCAAGCAGGGCCTTCTGCAGGTACCATCCTGTAAATGGGCAAGATGGATAACCACCTGCATTCTCTGTTGTTGGCCCCCAACTTCCATTCTCATGGCTTTCTGCAAACTATGCTAAACAGAATAATTCAAGAAGGCTTTTTGTACAGATAAATAGGACTGTACTATAATGAAATGGTCAGAAAGTGGTATTGTTAGTGGGATAGGGACTGGGACCTACACCACTGTATTGCTAACTAACACTGTAAGTATGTTCCAAACTATGTAGTTGTTCCTACACCACTTAATTTATAAAGTTTAAAAGCTCATGCTTTGTTTAGCTCTGTTTGAGATTTCTGTTTGTTTCAGATTTCTGATGTCCAAAGCCTATTGTATTGGCCATCAGATGTCCCATCCTGTTGACTGCATTTGACTTACACTATATAATCCGCCTTGATTCTCAGAGAAAAAGGCGAACAATACATAACATGATAACAATAACAACTGGATCGTGAACTCTGTTCAATGAAATTCCTGTTGTAACATCACTGCAAATAGCAACTAGACACAGTAAAAAAGCGCAAGTAATCTCGTAACTACTCAATTAGTTTATTAACACACTCTATACAGGCATTAGTTTATTAAAACACTATATACAGACATTAGTTATAAATGGTATTCATTGCTCTGGGAAATCAGTAGAATTGACACCATGTCATGATATTTTAGTGTGTTTTATGTTTAGCACTTGTTCACTTAAGGCAGAGGGTTACCATATCTTCGTTAAAAAGGGCACTTTGGTGTCCTCTGGTTATATAACTACAGGATTGTATGCTTGCACCCAGACAACTGGGTCCATGATCTTATAATGTAATTGGAACATCATCACTAAGGAAACCGAATTTCTTATCATATTCAGAAAGTAACAAATACAATTCTATAAACATTATATAACTGTGAATAAGTATAAATACCGTAGGACTGAACTTCATCCCAGCACTCGCAAGTAGGGCTTTCTCCTTGTTTTCTAAATGTCAGAGAAAAAACTCATCCACTCAAACAAAGCTCTGTTTGACAGAATAAGAGGAGGAAGCCATGTTTGCATGTGTAGGGAACTGAATTACAGTCAGACACAACTTCCATTTGTATTTGCCACCTCTTGTGAGAAAAATAAATAGTGTAACTTTGTACATACTGTCACTTGAGACAATCAGCACCTTAGAACAGTTAGCATGTTATTGCTGTTTTGGGAGTTGGGTTTCAACTCATGCTAATAAAATTAGTTCTCTCTTAAAAGCCTATAAAACCCCCAAGGCACTGAATAATATAAAACACTGACCCTGCTCACAGTCTTATGATCTAACTAAAACATACTTGGAAAAGGAAAAAGGCATACCAAATTAAAAATCCCTCAACTAATTAGGATAGATACATGAAAAAGATGCGTCTTGAGATGCTTCATAAAGTATAAAAGAGAAAGAGCCATATAAGTGTCTGGTGGTGAAATGCAGCCAAAGAAATTTGAGAGATGTGAGGTAACAGATGTTATCTCTGGTTTAAGGGAAAAAAGGTACGTTACGTGAAGGCTCTAGGCAGAGCATAAAATCAGATTTTAGAGTAGAGGTAGGCAGGAATGACAGAGTGCAAGTATTTTAAATAAGGAATAACATTTTAAATGAATATAGGGAGGGAAAACAGTGCAAAGAAATAACATACGCCTTTTCTAAGTAAAGAAGAAAAGTATAACACAACTTTAAATAAAACTATAACTGAAAATTTATGTTTAGGCCTATACAATAATCAGATCTGAGGTAACTGGCTATTCATTAAAAGGGGCTGGAAATCTTAAAGGTATTTGAAATGTCAACTGAAAATTTTTGCAGTTGAACAATTTCATGTCTACAAAACAGCAAATGTGTACTTACTATATTCTGAAATAAAACTGGAAATGATTGTTTCATAAAGTATCAGTTGTCAAAATGTAATATCAGTACCAAAAGCTATGACATATTGATAATTATGGATTAAGAAATTGGCTTCCACTTCTGTCAATGCTTCTATACATAACCCATTTTAAAATTCAGTGTACTTAGTAGGACGGGTAGTGGTATCAATAAACTGTCAGGAAGTAATGTCTGAAGACACCAGTAGTTCAGGGCTTCTGCTCCTTTATTAATACTATCCCAATTTATTGTAATATTTAGTTTCTCTACAAAAATGCCAGTACCAAACTGAATTTGGCTGTAAGAAGAAAACCTATACTGGCACACTGTTGTAAAAATTGGCAATTATATATCATTCCTTCTCACAAGATAAGGAGAAAGTCCTAGTACATAAGTTTAAGAACATAAGAGGCGCCTTGCTGGATAGAGATGTAAAGTTTTTGGAAATTTTGAAGCAATGGGAGGGAGTTGGAGAGGTTTTTTTTGGGGGGGGGTGGGAAACCCTGAAATTGAGGGAAAAATGAAAGATATTCAGTACTTTCCCATCAAACTGAAACGTCTTTTACTTATAACAACATAAAATTAATCATTTATAACTTATCATATACAATTGCACTATTTGGCATATTTATGGAATTTAAAAGTATATCTTCATTTTCTAAAATTGCAAGTATACCTTTAGAAAGAGTTGCAAACTGTTGCACCCTATACTACCATAGCACACGGATCTTTTATTTTGTCTTACCTCTCAGTTGGCACAAATTAAAATTGAAGGCAGAAAACAAATTTGGTAGTAAGCAAAAGAAAGTATATAATTTGGGCAGAAACGCTAATCAAGTCACATCAGGTACGACTGACAGCATGTTTGGATATTAACTTTATGAAAACACTGAACTCTTTAATAATGTATTGTCATTAAACATACTATAGTTTATTAATTGTTGCCAGAATTATTACATGTAAAAAACTTGAAAATTCTGTGTATGTCTATAGTATAGCAGGTTTTCCTCCTCAATGATCCCCCAAATGTTGATTTTTTTCCACTGGAAAAGTTCTCAGATTTTTTTTCATGCTGTACCTTTGGAATGAGTGAAATGCTTTGTCAGACAAGTTTTTCTCATTCAAAAAGCAAAAATATTAAATAGGTTTTTTTTCAGTGTTCCTCAAAATTTCCAATTTTTTTCCATTGGAAAAACTGTCAAAGCCCTCAAACTTTTTCATGCTGTACATGTTGAGTGTGAAAAACCTTGCCTTAAATGGCATTCTTAGGCTGAGATCACACACACTAAATAATCCACTTTCAATCCACTTTTCAGACTGGATTTCTACTGTGTGAACTTGCAAAATCCAGTTGGAAAGTGCATTGAAAATGGATTGAAAGTGGATTAATTAGTGTGTGTGACCGCAGCCTTACTCATTCTAAAAGACAACATATCTCACAGAAATTTATTTTCAGTATTTCCTCACATGGAGGTTACCTTAAGTGAATGTGGAGATTCCCTATCCTCTTATGAATCTTTTTGTAAGAACATAATGCCTTAAGTTGGTACCTGAGAAGTGTTTTTATTCACAGATGGCTGTTAAAGATGATACAGTTCACAATATCAAATAGGTTTGGAAAATACTTCAAGTTAGACTCTGTTCTCAAAGAATAATCTCGTCTGAAAAAATATAGAAAATAAGTTCTGTAGAAAACAGTCATGTTTCGGGAGAAGAAAACAAAATGCGGCTTTTGGAAATCACAAAATTTACTTGTCAAACATTCATCTTAACTATGTATGTATGTATGTGCTCATACAACATTTAACAGAGAATGTATGCTGATGTTATTCAGCTTAAGAAAACCTTATTTCAATGCCAAAAGCTTGGAATGTTTTAAAATTAAACTGAGAAAGGGTTTTCTCCATTCATTTTATACAAACTGCAGAGAAAGGAATTTGGCTGGATTCCCGGGCTTCTCACAAACCTACCATCAACTCCTATTTTAAGTAATTTTCTCTCTCTCATAAACAATGTTTAGATGGGTGTTTGAAAAATTTCTCATTTTCCCCTTTGGATGTTAATAAATACTCTGTGCCTCATTTGGTTTAGACATTTTCTCTGTTTGCATGGATGAATTTTGCAGGGCCAAACGCCAAGGAGAGCTCATGCTGACACAGCATAGTACCATTGTAAACTCATTTGCAGCAATGCAAAAACTTTTGGGGAGGGGGAGGGATGTTGACAAGTGTCTTTCACTCCTTTTGCTGGGCCCTCTGCACAATATCAGTCATACTAAAACATAATGATCTATTATACTTTCCTAGGTGAGAGAGCCAAACAGTTATTCCTCATTCTGAATAATCTATAAACATGGCTGTACATTTAGAGATTTTTGTGTTAATGGCATTTAGCTGTAGTTGAGAATGATATAGTTAAGTTCCAAATTATTCTGTCAGCACCAATAAATTTTATTTTTAAAAGACAAAATACAGCTTAAAAAAACAACAACACAACTCTGCATGATCTCTGGGCCAGTTATCACTGACTATAGAATTATGTACCAATTTAGCAGCTTTCCAGACTGATCACTGTGAAAAGATCAAAACTGTGGACAGAAAAAGCTTTTTTATACCACAGGGCAAGCTCATATGCAACATCCTTGACTGTAATTAAATCAGGGTGCCAAATATGTTGTTGGGCATGACATCTACTGAGAACTTTAAGATCAATTCATATTTTGCACATCTCCAAGGAAATGAATTGATGATGCTGCAGACATGGGTACAACTTGTTAAGAATTAACAAAGAGGAAAAAATCCATTTCATTTGTCACTGGCATCTAATTGTACTTTAATTCAAACGGCACCTGTCAAGGCAGAGACCATCCCTACAAATGCAAAAATACAACTGGACAAAAGATATGATAGAATGGAATAACAAAAATGACATAATATATGTATGGAATGGCAAATAGGTAGATACAGCAATATCCAGAGATCTCATCTGACATCACCATTGAATCATTAAGATTTTCTGGAACAGTATTATCATCACCTTTTAGACATGTTAAAGTCTTTACATATACCACCAGACTAGCAGCTGTTGAAAATATTTAATTTCTTGGGAAGGAAAGTGATCAAGTGAAACCTGCCAATAAAAAACCTAAAACTCATTTCAGATTTGCAAAAAGCTGCAAGGCACACAGAGCACTAACTTTCCTGCTGTAGCTTCTAAAGAATACTAACCAGTTCCATGTTCGCTATGACACTCTGAAGGCTTATTTAGTAACCTAGCTCAAAATGTAGTCTCGTTTAACCCCCCCCCCCCGAACAAGCTGCCACCTTAAGTATTCAAATAATTCAGCTCCTCTATAAGACTCTGATGTACACGTGAGGTGATGGTCTGTAGGCCTCAGTACCAGTACACACGATATACAAAGAAGTACAATTCCATCATTTTTACCACCACACTAGAAACGGTCCTATTTAATGCATACTTGTTAACAAGCTTCAGCTTTCGGTAAGGTTGCCATGAGTTATTTACCTCACTTATTAAGATCAGGAGGCTGCATACTAATTTTGATACTTTTATTTTTCTAAGTGAAAATACTTTCCATTCCCTGAAAACCACACTGTCCTCTCAGAATGGCAGTTTTGGTTCTGCTCTAAGAACTCTATGATTCTCACAAATCCTTTTATCCACATGCTGCTTTCCCACTAAACACCAAATGCTCAGCTTGAAGGCACGATGGACTACACAGTCCCATCAGTACTACGAGGCTGAAAACCCTCTCTTCGGAGACTGGTTAAGTCTAAGCGCGTCACGACCTCACAGCGTACCAACAGAATATCGTCTTTCACATAGGTTCTTTGTTTTAGTGCCTGCAAATGCATGAAAGTCACATACCCAAAGCCCTTTGGGTTGCGAGGGACTGTTGGCCGCTGGAAGGCTAAGAGCTCAGGCTTGGTATCCATCACTTCTTCATGGTTGTGTCTTGGAGAACCTTCTGACTGATCCAGAATGGAAAGTCGTATGGTGCCTTGGAATGGCCAAGGCAGATGGCTGTCATGTTCTCCTTGCATAGTGTGAACAAAAAGGGAAATATAGTTAGCGCAGCGCTGAGCATTCGGCAACTGGATATGCAGCCGCAAACAAAGCTTATAGCCAGGTTTCCCTGTGTAGAAGCCTGGACTGTGGATAACAACGGGCCTCTCTTCTTCTTGTGCTTTTAGATATATACTGAAGTTCTCAATCTTCCAGATGAAAATACCATTACACTGTTGTGCTTCGATTTCGGTAATTTTTTCTTCCAAATTTCGAATGGTGCGCTTGAGATTCCCCATGTGTGTGTTCTGTGTCTCCATCTTAGCAATCAGTTCCCGAATTTGGTGATCTTGTCTTACCAAGCGACCTTCCAATTGCTGAACGGTCTCCTTGAAGTTCTGGACTTCGGGGCTACATTCACATTGGGTTGGCACGGCTTGAGAGAAAAGTGATGGGTCAAAAGGTAATCCTCCAAGGAAAGACATGGGAGATGGGGTAGTAGCAATGATGCTCCGGAGACTCTGAGCCATCATTCTCATATGAACCTGAGTGAATTCTTGCATATGGCGTGCCAACTCATTCCTTTGCATCTGGAATTTGAAAACACATGAGCTCATAAGCACTTCCTCTGACTAAAATCAAACATATAGCCTTAATGTAGGGGGGGGGGGGGGGACTGAACTGGAAAGCAGAACTGGCTTATCTTCCTGTAAATATTTGAGACAAGAACTCGAAACCTGAACAGAAGAAAAGTGTTACTAGTGCACAGGTGAGGCAGCAATTTGGATTACCTTACTGAAGGAGAATTACCCAGGTATAAGCAATTTATTAGTAGATATGCATAATAACAGTATCACACTCTCACCAGAACTGTGCTCTTTGACTTCTGTAGTTTCTGAAAAGCATTTTACGTGAAGTTCTCATTTAAAAATCTGCAATTCAGATTAAAATCTGTAATTCACAGATTTAATGCACAGAATCTATGTTTTCACTAACTAAAGTACCTTTTGAAAAATTAAGGTTGTAGAGACAGACTTGAAAACATCTGATAGGAGTAATGAACTGATTTTCCACCTATACACTCAATCATTCCACTCTTATATGAGCATACTGTCCTTTGAAATAATATCCTAACATTGATACTGGGAAGAAACCCTTAAAGAGTGATTTCAGAAAGCAGCAAGCGAAAACAGATTCATGCAGAAGCATCACTTATAAATACTGGTGATATGCATAATTAATAAAACATAAATTTGATTAATAAAGAAATTTCATTTATTGATCAGTGCATCTATATAGAATATTTTTATTATTTATACATCACATAAATAATCTATTTAGCAAATTTTATGCCCCCTCTGGGGAACCTGCTCAAAGTGGCTTACAAAGTAAAACATAATACCAACAAAATGTAAACGTTATTAAAATCCAGCATTACAGACCCAGCCGTAGCATTAAAAAACAGACAAGAAGCAGCTTAAAATGACTAAAAACTACACACACACACACTAAAAAGGTGTTAAAAGACCCCTTAATTAAAAGCCTGGGTGAACAGACACTTTTTGAACAGGTGCTTAAAAGAGGCCAAGCCTCAAAGGGAAGGGCACTGCACAAACCAACTGCCAATACTGAAGAAGCACTCTCTCTCTGGTTATCACCCACCTCCCTTCTAAAGGCGGAGGCACAGAGGAGCAAGACTCATGAGAAAGATTATGATTATGGCATATAGTCTAAAATTCTTATTAACTGTTAGGCTGGACAATATGGGAGAAGGCAGTCCAGTCCTTTAAGTACCTTGGCCCCAAGCCATTCATGGTTTTAAAGGTAAGGACTCGCACTTTTAATTTAGCATGGAAAGAAATGGGCAACACTAATACATTTAATGGGAGGTCGCTGGTGACCAAGATCAAGATAATTCATACTGTGGTATATGTATGGGTGTGAAAATTGGACATTGAAGAAAGCTGACAGGAAAAAAGTTGATTCATTTGAAATGTGATATTGGAGTACGTACTACTGGTACTGTGGACTGCCAAAAAGACACATAACTAAGTTCTAGATCCAGTCAAGCCTGAAATCTCCCTAGAAGCTAAAATGACCAAACTGAGGCTATTGTACTTTGGTCACATAGTGAGAAGACAAGACTCACTGGAAAAGACAATAATGCTACCAGCTTTCCTAGGAGCTGTTAAGATGATGGTTCCTCCTTTGATCTGGGGCTAGGCGGCAGCTGAATGACCACCATTGGTTCCTTCTACCCTTCTCATTCCAGGTACGAATTTAAACAGGAGGCCTGTGGCTCTTCACTTGGGAGTGTAGAGCTGGGGCTTACGCACTATATGCAATGAGTGGAAGAAAGCCCCCCCCCCCATTGGAGAGTGAGCGAGCTACACCAGTTACTAACCTGGAAGCCGTTCTGACATACAACAATACCTGTTGGATCAGACTCAAACCAGTTGTCATTAATGTGGGAACTATCTTGTGGGGTTCCATGGGGTGTGGTTCTATCCCCCATGCTTTTTAATCTCTATGTAAAGCCCTTTGGACAAATCATTCATAGTTTTGGGGTTGCGTGTCATCAATATGTAGGTAATACCCAACTCTATATATCCTTATCAAGTCTCCTGGTGATGCAGTAGAGCTCCTAAATCACTGCCTGGCTAAGAGCAAACAAATTGAAACTAAACACTGAAAAGGCAGAGGTAAGGGAAAGCAGAGCTCTTGAAGGACATTGTCTTCTCCACTTCTGATGGAGTTCAGCTAACCCTTGCTGACTCGGTTAAGAGCCTTGGGGTTATACTTGACCCAATGTTATTGCCGGAGAAGCAAGTTAATGCAGCTGCAAAAATGGCTTTCTTCCAACTAAGCACAGGCTGAAAGATGACTCCTTACGTTGACATAGTTCCTCTGGCCACCTGGATCCATGCCACAGTAACACTGAGACTAGACTACTGTAATGCAGTGGTTACCAACCTTTTTGGTATGGTGACCCATCCGGGGCTGGCCCAAGGGTTTTTGATGCCCCGGGCAAACTATGACCTTGGCACTCATATAGCTCAGCATTCCATTTTCTACAGTGGCTAACCAGATGTTTCTGAGAAATCAACAAACATATCACAAAGGGTGGAGCTACCCCCACTATGAAACCCTAGCAAGTGGCATTCTGACATACACAGCCTTTGTGTATGGAGATTATATTCCAGGCTTTGACCACCCTCTCCTCCTCCATTATCTCCTCTAATCCCCCCTAAGAAACTCACTCTAGTAACCATCAGGATCAGCAGGTACATACTTGGTCAACAGGAACATACAATGAAGAAAAAATCCTAGCTAATATATGACATGGAATATACAGTTTCTAGGGTCAGATCATGGTTTCCTAAATAATTTTTTTTAACAATTAGAAAGGGCAAGGGAGGCAATTAGGGAGAGCTGGCCTGCAACCCACTTTTGGGTCCTGACCCACAGGTTGGGAAACACTGTTGTAACACTTGTACATCAGTCTCACCTCAAAATCAATTTGGAAACTCCATCTGATCCAGAACTCCATGGCTCAGCTATTACTGGGAACTAGATGGAGCACGCATTTTACTCCATTTCCACAGTCACTCCTTTTGGCTGGTCACCAGTTATCAAGCTCAATTAAAGGTACTGTTATCACATACAAAGCCCTTCATGGCCTTGGATCCTATCTGCAACTGCCTCTTCCTCATGAACTCCCATGCTAGCTTCCCTCATCTGAGCTAGGTCTTCTGCAGGTTCCAACCTGCAAACGAGCAAAATCAACAACTGCCTGTACACATGCCTTCTCTGCTGTGGCCCCCACCTTATGGAATGGCCTGCCCCACCTTATGGAATGGTCAGGAAGGCTCTTACTCCCCTGGCTTTCTGAAAACGATGCAAAACTAAATTATTCAAGAGGGCTTTTCTCCGCAGGCAATAGAGTCGCACTGTACTAAATGATTCACAAAGTTATTTGGATAAATCATTAGGGACTGTGGTCTATACTACCGCATTTAGCTTGCTGAAACGAAGATCTTACTATGTAATTTTTACGTCATTTAATGTGTCACGTTAATACTTATATGCTTTGTTTCTGTTCTATTAGATTTCTGATCAGTCCTTACAACCCTAATCCTATTGTATTGTTTACTGAATCTCCCATCCTGTTGCCTGTAGTGACTCACTCTGTGTAATCCACCTCAAGTCAAGTGAAAAAGGAGGAGAATAAATACTGTAAATAAAATAAAACAAGTTGAAGGCAGCAGGAAGATGACCCAGCATGAAGATGGATTGACTCAATCAAGGAAGCAGCACCCCTGAGTTTGCAAGACCTGAGCAAGGCTGTTAGCAATAGGATGTTTGGGAGGACATTAATTCATTGGGTGGCTGTAGGTTGGAAGCAACTTGATGGCACTTCCCCCACACACAGAGACAGGTATCTGTCTTGTAGATACCAATGAGTTGAGCCTTATGGTTAATAAAGTTGTTTAACTAAAGAGCCTTGCACACTTCCTTACTTACTGCCTTGGCTGTTCAGCAGTGCTACTGTAAAAGTCCCCTTTGGCGTTTTCCCCCTTGGCAACATCAAGTAAGAGGGACAGATTTTCAGACCCAGAGGTGGTGGTATGCTACTAGAGGCCAGAGGCACCTTTCTGCCGCCAGCTTCCTAAGTGGACAGTGCACCACAAAGAGAAGAAGCCTGAAGAGGAAGGTATCCTTTCCTTTACAGGGTGGCAGCACTGTTAATTTACAATCATCATTTCCGTAATTTTCAGAGCACAATTAATGTACGAGTATTTTGTCTAATCACACTTCCTAAGGTTCTTGCTTACTGATGAACTTCTTACACAGTACTTTTACTACTAAGCCACTTTGAGAGTATTGGCTATAATGTGTGTTATGCAGGTAACATTCTAACTTACTTTTTCTGGACATCCAAAAGCATGATAAGTGCATGGTACTGGAGCAGTAGGGCAGTCGTTGTCATAGTGATTAACCAACTAAAACAAACAATGAGAACACTGTCATTTTGGAGCACAGATGGTTGCTTATGATACACAGATATAAAACACTACCATATATCACTCATACCAGACCAAAATAATTAACAATTAACTGTTGTGAATTTAATAACACTTTTCTAGAACACATGTACTTGCATAAACTTTACTGCATTAGCTCATAGCCTTCGCAAATAACACCAAGAACACATGTACACTTTATGCAGAAGAAAGCTATCGGCTGATTTATTGTAATCAGCACAGCAGTCTCAGTACAATATATGACATTTTCTTTTTGGTAAGCCAATTCCCAATTTTCTATAGGGGTAGTGCTACATGGAACTTTCGTACATGTTACCCCTTATTCATTTTCTCTGTACACAGACACACCCTGAAACCCTTTGGGTCTTGACTAGAAGCCTGACCTAGGAGAGTAAAAGAAACAAGACACTTAGTGGAAGAGCAACATAAGAAAGTTCTCCTACAGCACAAGACACGAAAAGCTTCTCATTGCTACTTGGCTCCTCCTAAACAAGACCCTCTCGTAGCCTATCCTGCCCTTTCTGAAAAAGAAATAAGTTGATCTACCAAGTATCAAATGCTACATTGCTATCATGCTATGGCAGGAAAAGAACTCAACAAAAATGACAGCTTCTTACCTGCTC